AGGAACATTTGCAAGACCTAAATAACACTGGTTTTGAACAAATCACCTACCAGCTTTCCATCCATACCAATCGGACCCTAGGATAATCAAAAGCCAAACAAAACAAAACAGTTAAATCAGATGAACACTGATGTTGAGGAAAACATACAGATGTGTGGAATGCTGCACACTTTAGGAGATGGTTTACTCTACGTGAGCAGTTAAATACAATACATTAAAGATATTTTCTTGAAGGTACAAAGAAGGAACAACAGAAACAGCAGACTTCAGTAATAATACAAAACAATATCACAGGAAATAGGCTATAGCTGGTGTTTAACAAAAGAAAGGTTCAATGCGCATTGAAGGAATTGTTAGTTTGCCACATCACAGCAGTACAACATAACCAAATATATGAAATAATGCATCTGGGTCATGTATTTCCTTTAAATGACCAGGAAAATATAATATGCAGCCTATTTATGGAATAGTCTTATTGTAAAAATGTATGCTATTAATGGATATATTATTTAGACTGTTCTCCAAGATGTTCAGAAGCAAAGCTGTGTATTTTTTGGAAAAAAAAAATCTAATGTAGAAACAGGTATTTACTTAGCACTAAGTACTTAATTAAAATCCTAAAATGTACAGAGACATCATGTGGGAGAAAAGGCGAATGAATGCTATTCATCTTTGTTTTTGTGCAAAGTAAATTCCACTCTTCAGAAATATTCTAAAAAGCAATACATCTCAAAGAAATATATTCTAGTCAATTTTTGAACACTAAACCACAATAGTTGTTCTCTATTTAAATAATTTCTTCTATATCTTGTGGAGGTAAATATTTAAAAATATTTGGAGTTACTTACTGAAATTGAAAAAGTGAACATGTAAGAAAACTTTGGAATATTTCTATCAAAAGATAATCAGTTTTATTACTTTAAGCAGCTTTATTATATTTATTTCAGGATATTCTGAGTGAAAAGTGAAGTTAAAAGCTAGACATGAGATCACACGTGCAAATTCATTATGTGATGAAAAATGTCTTCCAAAGGAAGGAAAAAGGAAGATATGGATCGCCTTTTTTCTTTAACTTCTCTACTAATCCATCAGTGATCCTTTTCATGTAAGGAAAACTCATCAAAAGACTGCATTCTGAAACTAGAAGATACACATTATTTCTTCTTTAAAACCAGCAGTTCTTATTTTTATACATTTCAAAGGTTTTTCTAATAAAATGGATCGGCACATTTTAGCAGTTCATTAATTTCAGTATGTTTTTACTCATCAGAAGTATTTATATTAATATAATTGCCGTAAATACATTTTCTATGGAAAAGATGAGAAAGAAAATTTGGACATTACAAATTATTTAAATTCTAGTTTTCTGTATAACTATAACAAACAGGCCACTTATCTTCAAATGTATAATGATTTCTCAAACTT